AGCTTCTGCACAGCTAAATCTATCGCAACTAAGCTAGAAAGACAACCAACTAATTGGGAAAAAATATTTACCAGCAATATATCAGACAAGGGGTTAACATCCTGTATATACAGGGAACTCAAGAAACCAATCCCTCCCAAACCTAACAAACCAATTACTAAATGGGCAAGGGAACTAAAGAGGGACTTCTCAAATGAAGAAATAAAAATGGCAAAGAAACACATGAGAAAATGTTCATCATCCCTGGTGGTGAAGGAAATGCAAATAAAGACAACCCTGAGATACCACCTTACCCCAGTCAGAATGTCCCACATCCACAAATCAGCCAACGACAAATGCTGGAGGGGATGTAGAGAAAGAAGAACCTATTACACTGCTGGTGGGAATGTACACTTATACAACCACTTTGGAAAGCAGTCTGGAGGGTCCTCAGAAAGCTAAAGATTGACCTCCCTTACGACCCAGTCATACCACTTCTAGGCATCTACCCTGAACAACAGGAACCAATATACAAGGACACGTGCACCTCCATGTTTATTGCAGCACTGTTCACCATAGCTAGGATATGGAAACAACCCAGATGCCCCACCACAGATGAATGGATCCAAAAATTGTGGTATCTATACACAATGGAATATTATGCAGCCATTAGAAATGACAAAATAATGGCATTTGCAGGGAAATGGATGGAGCTAGAAGGAATCATGTTGAGCGAGGTAAGCCAAGAACGAAGAGACAAACGGTCCATGGTCTCCCTGATAAGTGGATGCTAAATCCAAAATGTTAGGTGATACGACAAAACTAACAGGACTTAAGAAACAAAGAACTCCCACTCATCTGGTTGAACCACTACTAAATATCCCCATGCTGCTGATCACATATATGGTATATAACATGTGAACACCGTTATATGTTACAGACTGTGATAGACAATTTGCTCTATGAAAGTTAGAATGAACTTGTGACTTTAAATGAGCATCATTATTCCACAATACTGTGAAATTCCGGAAATTATGTAATCACTTAATCACAATCAAAAAAAAAAAAGAACCTTGGGGAAGGTAGGGAGGGAGGGGATGGTAGGGGGAAACAATGGAGGGGGTAACAATGTTCAAGAGGAAGTGTACTCATTACCTCACTCATGTAACTGTAACCCTCTGTATAGTATCTTTACAATAAAAAAGAAAAAGAAAAAGTCACAGGTAGAGGCATGACTCAAGTGGTAGACTGCTAACCTTGAACACAAAAGCTCAGAGACAATGCCCAGGTCCTGAGTTCAAGCCACACACACACACACACACACACACACACACACACACACACACACACACACAAGCAGTCTTAGGTCTTAAGCATGAGTTAGATATTTTATCTTACAGGCTAAAGTGATAAAAAAAAAAAAGTAAATAAATAAAAAACTTGGAGTCTCACCTTGCTTTTACCAAAAAATAAATTAAATTAAAAAAATAAATATGGCTAAAAGCCAGATGGAACAACTGCTTCATAACTGCCCAAATTCCCAGCATGCCAGATGTCAAGAAGATTCTTCACAGCAGCCACTAAGTGAAATGTAATGAAAGTCAGCGACCCCGCAGGACAAGGACCTACTCATCCCTGGAGCTGTCCAAATCTGGCATGAGAACAGCCCTGGGGAAGGCAGCAAGCTGAAACCTGAGGCCATCATCTGTGGCTGAGATCAGTTCTCAGAGAGCCCAGACTCCTGACTCCCAGTCCTAGGCTCATTTCACCAAATCTTGTTGGTCTTCCATGAACTATGTGACACTAAGTATGACCTTTCCTTTTCTGAATAGTCTTTTTCTCATCTGGGGAAAGTTCACTCAATAGGCCTGAGATATCACACCTCTCAAGTCTTCTTCCTCTTTAATACACTATTGAAGGGTTTGCTTCTATTAGTAGCTAGCAGTTTATAAACCTTCTCCTAGCTGAGAAACACCGTAATAAGCTAATGAGGCTAGCTCAATCTGGCCAGGATGTTACTCCAACTGGTTCGCTGATGTCCAAAGTAATTCACTATTACAAGGCATAGGATCATATCCAAGCACAAGTAAAGATCACCTCATTTGAACAATGAATGAAACCCTAGAATCCAGAGCTATGAGATCCTGACCATGTCCTGTTGCTGTTTGAGAGTTTTGTTATAGTCTCCAATGACTGTGTGTATGTGTGTGTCTGTGTTAAGTCCCCCGGGAGCCAAGTAGATGCTAAAACTGTGCTTCTCCGGTATATAGAGAGCAAAGAACCATGTTTCAGATTTCAATAAACTCCCAATACAAAACAAATTCCCAAAGGGGAAATTGCCAGTTACGCAATGTGGGTAAAGGTGGAAGAAAAGAAATGAAAAGAAAGATGCAAAAATTGTTCTGCTTCCAGAATCACACAAAGCCAAATTTGTGGAAGGACATCTTCATAAAGTTTATTGATTTAACAACAATGATAAATAGTTTACCACAAAGATGTCTATGCATGACTTGCTCTTCTATTTCACTGCAAAAATTTGAAGGCTGTTAAACCACTGATTTCACCTTCTTTAACCTCCACACAGGAGACAGGGACAAGGGAATGACTGACAGACAAATGCTAACCTCAACAGTGAAGCAAACATAATTACAGAACCAAAGTAACCCACATATTGACAGTTTCCACATGGTTATTTACTTTTAATAAAACCAAGCATGGATATGCATTTCTTACTCAAATATGAAAAAAGAAAATCTTTCCAAGATATGTGACAGAAACATCAATGAAAGAGCCCACCTTATATCTGAGACTCCAGGGAGGAACATTTTATGGTGACCATGTTGTAACATAGCCACCTACATTCTGCTGGGGGAATTAGCTTAGGGCATCTTTGCTGTCGGGTATTCAAAGTCCTTTCTCTGCCAATAATTGATCAATATCTTGAAGACCACATCCTCCATATATAAATCAGGCCATTTATTTTAAAGAAGCCATGGTTATGCTTAATGAATGGCTTAACAAATCCATCAGAAAACACAAGTAAGCAAGTACGTAAGAGACAAGTCCTGGAGAAGCTTTGGTTTTCCTCCCCATTTCTTACCCAAGGCCCTAATGTATAATTGCCAGGATCTTCCCACAGCACACTGGAGTTAAGAGTCCCATTTGTGAGTTAGGCACCAGTGGCTCAGGCCTGACTCTAGTTAATGAGGAGGCTGAGATCTGAAGATCAAGGTTCAAAGTCAGCCCAGGCAGGAAAATCTGTAAGACTCTTATTTCCAATAAATTACCCAAAAAAGCTGAAAATGAAGGAAGCTGTGGTAGAATGCTAGCCTTGAGCAAAAGAAGCTCAAGAATAGCACTCCGGTCCTGAGTTCAAGCCCCAAGACTTGGGGGTGGGGGAGAGAGAGTCACAGTTGCAACTTTATGAACTCCACATGACAGTTGTAAATCCCAGAGCCTTATTGTCTATAATGGCAGAGACTTTGGGGCTAATCTGCTAACTACCTCAGGGCATCTGAACATGGTGCGTATTTCCATCTCCTTAAGAACAGTCTGAAGCCAGGCACTTGTGGTTCACAGCTGTAATCCTAGCTACTCAGTGGGCTCAAATCTGAGGATCATGGTTTGAAACCAGCACAGGCAGAAAAGCCAACGAAACTCTTATCTCCAATTAATCACCAAATACTAGAAGTGTAGCTGTGGCTCAAAGTGGTAGAGCACTAGCCTTGAACAAGAAAGCTCAGGGACAGCACCTAGGCACTGGGTTCAAGCCCTACAATGGACCAAAGAAAGAACAAAGCAAGCAAAAAACAGCCTGATCTTTCCCCAGCTGACATGACCTTTGACCCTTCTCCAAGGGCTATGGAAAAGACTTGATGCATTGACTTGAAAAGTTGGAAGTTGGGAATATCAAATGTAACTTCAGAGCAACATAGGTGAGTAGCGTTGAGGGGTGAGGAACTCATTCTAAATTCTCTCTGTTGAAATACTCAAATCTCCTAAATCATGCATATGATAAATATGCCCAGATCTACCTCCTGACAGTAACTTCAGGGAAATTAAATACATTAAACTCTAAACCAGAAAGAGAGCACTGGGCGTCTGATAGCAGGTAACCCACACCAAGTTGAACCTCCAGGTACTGAAGCCTTCTATCAAGTGAGAAATAGCACTTGTGGATACTCTAAATGAGATACCTCGCACCACCTTTCCCTCAAAGGAACCTCTGGAACCTTTGCTGTTTCTTTGTGTGTTTGTACCTGCCCTGGGGCTCACACTCAGAGCCTGGGCATTGTCCTTTCTTTACCTTTCTTTTTCTCTTTTATCCGTTCAAGGAGGGCTCTCTCATGAAGGACAGCTCCACTTCTAGCTTTCGAGTGGTGTCTGGGCTAGGCCTTGCACCTCTATCCTCAGATCCATATCAGCCTCCTCCCTCCTAGCTACGATTACAGGCAGGAGCCACTGGCACCTGGATGCTCTTTTCTATTTCTTTTAATAGATAGATAAAATAAAACACCTTGGCTTACCAGTGGGTCTACTTTTAAACCGACCAAACTTTAGAGAAAAGGCGCACACCCTTGTGTAACAGGGGGTCAGGAAGAGGAGACAGAAGAGAGATGAGGATGGAGCTGTGTTCACAACCATTCTCAAGAACCAAACTTAGGCTGGACCTGCCGCTGCCCAAACCTCAGGGGTGCTTCAAACATCTTCGTATCATTACCACCCTCTTTTTTGTTTGGGGGGGATGGGTTGGGAGGGAAAAGGGAAAGGGGGAGAGGGAGGGAGGGAAAGAGGAAGGGAAAAAGAGAGAGAGATGCTGGGAGGGAAAGAAATCAGAGTTCCCTTAGTCTGGGTTGCATGGCTCGGACCACCTGATGCCAATCCCCCATGGAGACCCATGGAGAAGGCTAAAGGGGCAGAGCAAAGCCAAAAGGACCCGATTCCTAGTAGGGGAGTTCTGGCGACGGCCCGCCCGGCGCGGCGGCGGGGATGCGAGGCGTGGGCAGGCGCGCGCGGGGTACCTTGATGTAGGCCCGCTGCAGGTAGTTGTAGGGCACTCGGCGCTGGAAGTCGCTGCGCACGTCCTCGCTGACGCGGTGTCGGGACTCGGGTCCTCCCAGGCGTTGGTGCTCACAGCTGCGGTAGCAGCGAGCCCGCTCTAACAGGGCACGGAAGAAAGGTAGCTCAGCCCCGGGCCCGGGCCCGGCCCCGGGGGGCACGAGCGGGCGGCGCGCCGCACAATGCCGGGCACAGCGCGCGCGGATCTCCCGCAGTCGCCGGTGGCTGCGCAGCGCCGCTTCCAAGTCGCGCACCGCTCGTTGGAAATCTCCGCTGTAATAGGCGGCTATGCCGCTGGCGTAGAGCAGATCGTAGGGCTGCAGGGGCCCGCGCTCGGGCTGGGGCTCGGGCTGGGGCTCCTGGCGCCGGCTGTCCTGGGGGCCGCCCCACAGTGGCGGCGGTAGCAGCAGCAGCAGCAGCAGCAGCAGCAGCTTCGTCCAGATGCGCTCCCGCATCCTCTGCCGCAGAGAGGCGCAACGCGGGCGGCTGAGCACCAACCAACACGGGGACCCCTCGCGTCTGCTTTCCTCTCCCACCTCCGCCCGCTGAAGCGCGTGGGTCCCACGAGCGATCGGCCCCTTCTCACAGCTCCAGGTGACCGCCCGGCGCTCTTGGTTGAGCCTACAGGCGGAGGCCCGGCCCGGCCAGCTGCTCTTAAAGGGACGCCCACAGCTCACACGCTCCTCCTGCTGACCAGTGTCTGCAAGCCGCGCTCCCAGGCGCACAGCCTGGACTGTGGGGCTGCCGGCGGTGTGTGTATGCCCAAGTCCGAGGGGCTGGTCGGAGCTTTACCCATAGGTTCCCCTCTAGGTTACTCCGAGTGCATGCGATCCCTCTCCTTGAGCACGGAATGAGGTCTTGATCATTCTCTGAAATCGACATGGGCCTCTGGTAGTTTGCACCACGGGTGCTGGTGGCTCCTGCCTGTAATCCTAGCTACTCAGGTGGCTGATGACTGAGGATCGGAGGTTCAAAGCCAGTCCTGGCAGGAAAATCCCGTGAGACTCTTATCTCCAATTAACTCTTCAGAAAAAGCCAGAAGTGGCACTGTGGCTCAAGTGGTAGAGAGCTAGCCTTGAGCAGAGAGGCTCAGAGACAGAGCTCAAGCCCTGAGTTCAAACCTCAGGACTGTCCCTCCCTACCCCATTACCAAAAAAAAAAAAAAAATCCCCAAATCCAAAGCTCTTCACCTTCAGATGATGTCACACGGCTCCATCTCAAGCCCTGGGCAAAGTGCCTCATTGAGAGATCTCAGAAAGAAAGCGATAGTCTCAAGTTTATGTAGCTGAGAAATAGGAAAGGAAGGAATCCTCGGCCTTTGTCATCAGAGGTCACAGCTCCTTCTGTATGGAAGGGTCTCTCGCATCTGACTGTGCATGTACCTAGAAGTTCCTGCTTTAGAGCAGGGGATTGGGTGAGGGAAAGAAAAATAAACAGCCGGCCTCTCCTTGCAGACCATAGCAGCTGGACACAGAGAATAGCTGGAGGAAAGTGATGCTGTATTTAGATTCCGGGTCTGTGCGTGGTTGTGGGCAACCTAGCCTCGGGTTTCCTCATGGTAAAGCAGTCAAACAACAAACATGCCAAAGGATATCCAGATGTAATAAGTTCTTATTGTAAGAGTTGAACAAAGAAGCAATGCAACATATTCACAATCCCAGGAGTTAAGCAACGAACATCAATCTGGGAATGGGAAAACTGACAGAAAAAACCACTGCCAGACTCCATGGGGCTAGCCAGAGGTTTTCTGACTCCTCTGTTTCTCCTTTACCATAAATACCTTCGTTACCAAGGTGTTCCCTTCTTTCCCGTCCTTTGGCTCCATATCCTCTGAAGAATTTGTGCCAGTCCCATGTGCCAAACCCCAGATTCCATGATGCTTAACACCTCCCCTGGGGAAGTATTTTCATTGTCTCCAGTTGCCTGTGGAAATTTGATGGTAATCTCTTGGCCACTGGATTGGTGATCCAGAAGGAAGGGTAATGATTAAGAGCTGTACATATCATCTGCTCTATCAGAACTTCACACAGAAAGCTTTTGTTCTGAAGTTACTGGTGGAGGAGGAGGCCAGAGTCATGCTTGGTCCTTCATTCATTTTGTTGGGTTTCACCACTCTGACCATAAACAATTTTAGCTGTATAACTCCAAAGGACAATATATCACCTTTTTTTCCCACCAAACCTCACTAATTTGCCTAAATTGTCATATCCCACTGAAGGAAAAGCTCCAGGTTAGAGCTATCTGTACATAGAATGACTTGGATCTTCATTGTTCTGGAATTAGCACTTGGGTCATCGTCTAGATTTTTTTTTAATCTCTAGGGATTGTCTTTATTTTTACATAAAGATTCTGGAATCTAGATTTATCAGTCCACTTGTGGAAGATTTTGAAACTCATTAAGATAGAAAACAGTACTGGAGGACTCTGAATAAAATTGCCAGAGGTTTGTGTAATTGAGTTATGTCATTTTTTAAAAAAAAGTTTTGGATTCATTGTGGTATTTCAGCTCTATGTTCACAAATACATCTATATTATTAAAATGTGTCTGGTAAACTCATATTGTGAATGCCTAACTTCAAAACATGTATTACCCAAAAGAACAAATAAGTAATCCAGGTCCTGGGAGCTCAGTTTTGTGGAAGAAATGAGACGGACAACAATACAAAGTAAGAGCATAGCATGTGTTAGATTAAATATGTTGTGGGAACACAGAGGCTGCAAAGATGAAATATCTAGGGAAAAAATGCGAGAAATTATAACTGTCAGAGTCAAAAGCCTATGGGCTCCAACTACACACACATCCTTCAGCTGTCCAGCCCAGTCTTGTCCTTTCAATATTTCTCTATGTTCTACTACCCTGTCCTTCTGCACAAATCCTGTTTAACACGAGAGAAACCATTTAATGAAGGCCTCTGATTTTTGGAACATTGGGGTGACTCAATAAAATTGAAGTATTCATATCTAGTTCCTGCTCTGCGAGAGTCTGAGGTAGTTGATTGGTGTGGGGTAGGACCTGGAATTTTTAGAAGTTTTCTAGATGATTTTAAGATATGGGAAATCACTAGTCGAAAGAAAATGCTTCAGTGTCATGGGGACCGGTGAGTCTGAGATCTGGGAGTAGGTACAGCTTTGTGCTATCCTTCAGATCCATCTTCCCCAAGAAAACCAATGAAACTTGCCTTTTAAGGCTGAATCAGGTAACTCAAACATACTTGACGATGTAGTTATAAGAGCTATGTTGTGTAGATAAATAATTTCCCTGTTGTGCTCTGCCCAGTGGTACTTTCTGTGTTGAAAGACAGTTTTCTGATGGTCTCTTGCACTACTGAACTTCTTGCTGGATGTGCCAAGAACATATTTCATCCTTTTTTTTGATATAAGAATCTTACTACATGAAAAGAGTCTCTCTATGTAGCCCAAGATATCCTCCCAACTCCAGTTGGCCTCAAACAGTGATCCTCCTCCTTCAGCCTCCAAAACACTAGAATAGCAGTCTTGTTAGACAACATCTGGTCCACTTTGCATTGATAACAAAAGTCCTTTGCTGATGCTGAGGCTCTTAGTGCATAAACCATCCTTCATAGTCCAATTCATTGTGACTTGCCATTCTCAAACCTTTTTTGTGTGTGTTATCAAAATCCCAATCAAAGAGTAAAAGTAGAGCCAAGTGGATAATACTCAAGAGCTGAGATCTGGTGGATTACAGTTTGAAGTCTGTCTAGGCAGAAAAGTCCCAGAGACTCTATCTCTAAAACAAACAGCAGCCTAGAGGCGTGGCTCAAGTGGTAGATACCAGCTGAGCAAGCAGACCTAAGAAGCACAAGGCCCTGAGTTCAAACTCTAGTACTAGCAAGATTTTAAATAAATAGATACAAAAGCACTGGCATTCTGAAGTGGAATCAAATGGGGGCTTCCTGTTTTTGGCAAGTCCTCAGTTATTCTGATACTCAAGCTTTAACAACTGAGAATTGGCAACTGGAGATAATTGTGTGCACGCAGAGACAAAGGACAATGTCTGTTGAGTAGGGGTGGAGGAAGGGATCATTGTTGTCAGTATCTAGTGAGGAGAAGGTGGGGTTAGTGCTAATTTGACTGTGAGATCTAGGACAAGTCTCTAACAGGAGAATTAACCATCTTAAGCAACAATGGCAATGTCAATATTGCCAAAGTTGACCCTGAAGGAACCTGGACAGCACACTGTGGGTAGTGCAATCATCACCCATTTCCTTACACAAATAAGGATCCTTAGTCCCACTGGCTACAAGCATAGGCAGTGACAAAAGGAAGACCCTTACTCTGATGTACTGAACTCTAAACCACACTTGCTAAATGTCATGGAGCTCCAGGTGATAAAAGTTTTGGAGAAAGAAATGCATGAAGAAAGAAACCATAAGTGGAGAAGTGTTGGGAATGTAGTCTTCTGTGAAGATAGGTATAAACTCAGAGCTGCAATTTCACTTTTGTTCTCTATTCCTTACAAAGAACAGCCAAAGCACCAAAGAGGCCATCCAAAAAATGCTAAGAGTGATTCAATCATTTCCCTTCTTATTATATTTGGCATGAATCTTGACAGAAGCTAGAATTTCCTTTTTGACTTCTGTTTATATGTCAGCAGCATCATTCCACTCTCTGGCTTTAGCAAACGATCAGCAGAAAGGAATTCAGAAAGAGATCTTCAAATACTTCTGATTTTCCCCAAATCAACTAAACTTTTGGGACATGACGTTTCTCCTTCTTAAATCCTTAGGGAAGACTATAAAGCCTACTCAGACTTGAACTGTAGAGTTAGTCAACACTTTCCACCAGCAAATCTGATATTAGTTTATTTTAATCATGTGTAAGCAGGGCTTTTACCTACCCCAAACATCTTTGACTCCTTTGAAATGAAAGGAATAATTCTCACTGTGCAACAACCCAGTCTGTGTTTGGATGTTTTTGATGCTGGCCACAAGAAGACTTGTTTGGAATAGTTTTTTTTTTTCTTATACAAATAGGATCGTCTGAAAACATTTTGGTTTTCTCTAAATAACTTGGTGTGAAAGGCAAGCTAACAACAATCTGTGACATAAGAGAGTGAGGGGAAGAGGCCTTCCTAGAGGAAGAGGGTTTTTTTCCCCTTTAAAGTAAAATTAATATTTAACTTACATTTGAAATCAAACAGGGACTGCCACATTCCAGGACTGTCTGTTTCTTTCCAAAGCTCTTTCCCCATGCTTACCTTCATTCTTGATCACGCTTTGAAATTCCAAATCAAACAGAACTTGCAAACACTCTCTACTTATATTCATGTAGAAATTCTAACTGCATTCCTTGGGAGACTTACATTTTGTTGAGTGAAAAAAAAATATGAGATAAATAAATAATGCACATGTTTCCCCAAATAATCTAAGCTAAAAAACACAAATCACATGAAATCCATAGGCTACTATGTCAATTCTTTTCACAAATATTAAGTCCCTTCAGTTTCAAAAGTTCCTTTGAGTAAGCAATAGTACTGTGACTATTTTTCCTGAGTGAGAAAAGGGATGCTTGTCAAGGAGAAATAATTTGCCTCAGGCCATACTTTGCAAAAGTCCATGCCAATAGTGAGCCTACTTGATCCTTTCTATTGCCTCCTTCCTCCTA